ACGGAACTGATGATTGAACTCAGACCCTTGTGCTTGCCAGGGAAGCATTTCTTCTACTGAGCCATCTCCCTGGCCCCTCTTCATAATACTCTTTTCTGAGGTTTTTGTCAACTGTGGTCCAAAAGAGCATTGTAAAATATTGTTAAAATAAGTAAAAGTCAAAGCACTGTCTGAAAGATAGCAGAGAAAAAATTAAGAGGAAAGATGCTAGAGTCATGTTGTTGGGATTTGGAGGTGGTAATCTGAGGACAATGCACAGTAACTCTGTGCTTAATCTGAGTTGTGGTCTGAAAAATAGGGATTTGTCCTAAAGGTCACTATGAGGATTCAATGAGGCAACTCACATAAAAGGTTTAAAATATAGCAAACTTTTAAAAGATAATGTATTAGCAATCAAAAGCAAGTTGCGGAACAGGAACTTGTATATCCCCACTTGTGTAAAGAAAACAAAAGAATAAAGCTGACACTGAAGGTAGATAGGCCATGCACTGTTTAAACTAATTTACACATGTTAATGATTTTACCTAGGCCATAAAGGCTAGGACACAAACTCTATTCCAACATTTTTCTTCTAACCTTTATGCACTATTATCTGCAACAAAAATAAAAATGCTTTCATGTGCATTAAAAATTCCTAGCAATGTAGGCAAAACACTATAGTGCTCACCTTGAGAGAGGAGAATGAGATGCGGGAACCCAGAGAGCAGTAGGCATACTTTTCCTTGCATAATATTTCTTTGCATTTGAATTTACAAAAACTTTAATAATTTTACAATTTTTTATAGAAACCTAAAAAAACCGAGTTTAAAACGTAAAACTTGTAATTAAAACACTCTTTGCCAACTTGACTGTAGCAGATATGGATGGGCTACAGTTTGGGTGTGGTCGGAATATGCCTCCCAAAGTCGCATATGCAGGCATTTACAGGGTGGACACTCACCTGACTACGGCTAGGGTGGTAGAGGCTGGAGGGAGCAGGTGGGAGGAGCTGAGGGTTAAAAACAATCAGTGGAGCCCAGGGCCTCCAGAGGAGAGAGCCAACAAACCTCCCCTCCTTGTAGCTCCCCTTGCCTGTGGTGTTGTTTTATTGGCACCAAGAAATGGACTAGTGTACAGTGGAAAGGTTGTTAATAGCAGTTTATCTTCCTTTTCAGACAGCTTCTGAAATAGTGTGCTTGTCTAAGAATGGAGAAGAGAGCCTGTCATTTCACTTAGTAGCATGGACCACATTCAGGAGCACGTAGATTTCTCTATCTAAATGTACAAAGTAATAGGAAAGAATAAGCAGCCATTGCCCTTCCCCACTGAGAGCCTTTCTCTCTTCCCACTGACCTAAGGACAGGATTCAGACCAGTCTCCTGTCAAGTTCCCTTCTCCCCGACTGTACTTCAGGCACGAAGCCGACTTCTGGTTTGCTACAACCCATGCTCCCTCTTATCCCAGGGCACTTTTCTTCTGCTTTTACTTTCTGCTACGTCTTCCCTCCATCATCCTGTAACACACACATTGTGCAGACTCACACACACAAGAAAAAACATACTTGGCCTTGTTAATTCCTATTCCTACTTCAAGTCCTAGCTTAAATATTGTTCCTTGTCTAGGCCCGGCATGTGTGTGAGACCTTCTGCCCACTTCCTAGATTTCCTTTCCAGCCAGAGCCCATGCCTTGCATGTGCGCTCGTGCGTGTGTGTGTGTGTGTGTGTGTGTGAACTTCCACTGGCTTGCAGGATCCTTTTCCAGCCAGAGCCAGGCCCAGAGTGTATGTGAGATCTCCCGCCTGCTTACTGGATCCCTTTCCGGCAAGTGCCCAGGCCTGGCCTGTGTGTGGGACCATCCACACACTCCCAGGAACCTCCCCCATCAGACAGGCCTGGCATGGAACCCTGTGGCAGAACTCCCTGCAGAGGATAGGGGCCAGACCCACCCAGCTAATTCAGGAGCTAAATATCTTGCCAGAGGGGTACAGTGGGTTCACTTCCACAGGCTGCAGCAGGAAAAGCTGAGTACAGTAGAGGGAATCAAGCCAGGCACATTGGGATGCGGTCAAATGTGGTAGATCCAAACCCTGTAAGCTCAGATACTTTGCTAGACCCAGATATATGAGAGCATCTTCTCTCTCTCTCTCTCTCTCTCTCTCTCTCTCTCTCAGTCATTGGGGATTGAACTCAGGACCTTGTGCTTGCTAGGCAGGTGCTTAAGCCACTGAACCATCTCCCCAACCCCCTCTTTCTCTCTTGATTGAGAGAGAGGCAACAGGTAACTGGGGTGAGCTAATCTGCCTGGAAGACACTATGTACATCAAGGGGAAGTAATCAGACAGAACTTAGGGGAAGTACTTTGAATAGAAATTCCCAATTTAATATATGCTTAGCTACACAGACATAATGTTTGCTACAAACCCATTAGTTACAAAAGTTTGTCAACTGCTAAATATCACTACCCATTATTAGTGTTCATAATTCTGTAAATACAAAACTATAATGGCCTTAACCACATAATCTCTCTTGGGTAAGAATTTTGGTAGGTGTTCAGGTAAAAACAGCACCAAATCTCTACACCAAAGGTCAGAGGACAGTGCTATACAGAATG